TATTTATTTAGTGTGTATGAGTGTATTGCCTGCATGTATGTAAGTGCACTTCTGTTGTGCAATGTGTGCAGTGGTCAGAAGGGGGCATTGGATCCCCTGAAACTGGAGTTACAGATGGTTGTTAGTCACCATATGGGTACTGAGAACTGAACCCTGTCCTTTGCATGAGTGGCCAAGTGCTCTTAATTGCTAAGCCGTCTCTCCAGCCCCTACCTTGTCACACTATTGGGGCCCTAATGTTCTATTAAAATTTTTTTTGGCTTGTCACTACAATTAGTTCTTCTTACAGTAAGACAATCAAAGTGCCCGAGTCCAGAGCAGCAGGAGTCACTCATACACTAACTCAAGATACCACAACTATCCTGGGCAGTTCAGAGAGGGCTCAGACCTCTATACTTTGTGCAGAGGACGCTCCTGTGGCAATGAGTCTCCAGTTTACACACACTAAGTGCATCAATAATGTTGCCCAATATTACAGAGAATTAAATGAAATAGTCAAATTTATGAGTTAGATCAAACCAAGATCACCTACTAGCTTACCAGCTGTTGTCCCTTGACTTTTGATTTCAACCGTAAATGGGCTGTTGTCAGAATTTAATAACAACAAACCTAGTTCTTAGCATAGTAAGAGCTCAACAAATAATAATCTACTACAAAAAATGGACTGTACCACTTTAGGAAGAAAGCCCAACTAGAATGCAGTGCAGAGGATGTCAGCCTAGCTATGCCACTGACCGGACTGACCCTTCACATGACCCCAGAGTCCTCACACTTAAATGCATGTCCCCCATGCCTGGCATAATTGATTGTTTTATAAGCCCTTAAAACGTTAGTTAATTAATTTTATTCAGTATTTCTTTCTTGTGACAGAAATGGTTATAGTGGCTTATAAAATAGAAAATCCACAGACAAGAAGGTTTATTTGTAGGTGGCACAAAAAGATAAGGGGTTAAAAAAGAGATAAGACAGAAAGCTTTAAAGAAAGGAGGTGCTTTTATTCAACCAGTTAATTAATTAATTAATTGAAATCTTTTTCTGCTTTATTGATATATAGTTGAAAGAATCTTGTGAGATACTATGCACAGGCTATGACTTTATATAGCACATCTTTAAATAGCACATCTTTCACCTCACCTAGTTACCTTTTAAAAGTTTTTGTGATAAAACATTTAAGCAAATGTAGGGAATTGCACCATCCCAGCATAGAATTCCCCGTGGCATGCTTTTCCCGGCATTCACAGCTCTTTCCAGCACACTGCAGACTCAGAGGACTGAGAGAAGCCATTTAATTATCCTTCACATCTAAATTATGGGCGATAAATGAATATCTGCCCTGTTTTTAAACTTCCTACAGAGTCATACCAATGTGTTACAACCCTACTGTCCCTCCTAATCTCTATGAGAAAATTTCCTCTGACAGGTGATTTTCTTTTTCTTCTCCCTTCCTTCCTTCCTTCCTTCCTTCCTTCCTTCCTTTCTTCCTTCCTTCCTTCCTTCCCTTCTTCCCTCCTTCCTTCCCTTCTTCCCTCCCTCTCTCTCTCTCTCTCTCTCTCTCTCTCTCTTTCTTTCTTTCTTTCTTTCTTTCTTTCTTTCTTTCTTCTTTCTTTCACATGCATGCAATGCCCATGGAGGCCAGAAGAAGGCATTCGATCCACTGGAACTGGAGTTACAGACAGTTGTTAGCTGCCATGTGGGTGCTGGGAACAGAACCTGACTCCTTTGCAAGAACAGTCAGTTCTCTAAACCACTGAGCCATCTCTCCAGCCCCTTCTTTGCTTTCTGAAAAATGGTGGCTCTTCCCAGTCTCTGAATGTACTAGAATCAGGTATAACTGATCTGTGCCCAGACTCCTCTCCATTATAACCACATAATTTTTAAATAAGCAAAATGAGACACTGACAAGAAAATCATAAGAAAAGAAAAAAATGAAAAAAAAGGACAAAAGTTGTGCAAAAAGGAAGCTAACATAAAACTGTACTTCAGTATGTCGAAAATAGGTGCTATTAGAGACTCAAATAGTGGATTCTTTGCATTTTAAATTTTTTAGTTTTATTGGTATGTAGATGGTAGAATCTTATATTGTTTTTAAACTTTCCAACCATTTGTTGTAAGCAAGTGTTTCCAGCTTGGGGCTAGGTTAAACACAGATTTAATTGACCCTTGAGAAAATAGATCAGATGAAAATAATCAAAGTACACTGTACAAAGAACTCCACTTGCTAAGAAGTAAGATTCTGTATTTTGAATTTTCTTTTATTTCTAGTTGAGGGTCCAGTAATGTTTTGCTTATTCTGCTTTCTAACTTAAATAGCTTTGTAATTGTTGAAATGTTTTGAATTAAATGATGTGTTTTAAATTATAAACTGTGGAATAAGATTTTTGGTTACTATGGTTTGCCATACTCAGATGCAGTATAACATCAGTAAAAACAAAGTTTTGTGGAAGGAGATGGGATCTTAGAGCAAAAAGAGAGAGAGAGCATTGTATGTGTCAATTTTTTAAGAATGAAGGGGACAAAAGATTATACTCTTGTCCCTTCGGACTGTCCTTAACACTTTCCTTGTTTTGGAATATTAGCATGTGAATGAATGCTATCTCAGATAGAAAAAGAAAATACCCCCCCCCCCAAAAAAAAACCCCAAACAGAACAGTACACATCAAAAACAGAAGAAACAAGGGCTGGAGAAATGGCTCAGTGGTTAAGAGTACTGGCTGTTCTTGCAGAGGACCTGGGTTCGCTTCCCAGCACCAACATGGCAACTAATAACCATACATAACTCCAGTTCCAGGGGATCTGATGCTCTCTTCTGACCTCCATGGACATTACACCACATGGGTGCACTTACACACACACAGGCAATACACTCATACAGATACAATAAATAAATAAATAAATAAATAAATAAATAAATAAATAAATAAATAAAATATTTTAAAACAGAGTAAACAGGGAGCCCGTGTCTCAAAAACGGAACCAAAAATAGAGAAAACAATATTTTAAAAAATGTTTCTACACTAAGAAAATAAAAATCATAAGAGAAAAAGTAATGATGACAGAAACATCACTGTAGCACATGAGCTGGAATTATTTAGCTGTGAGAAAGATTAGTCTTGAGTCCAAAGCAGATGCTGTTTTCTCGAAGTAGTTTCCTGGAACATTTTGGTTCTGAGCCTAGTTCTGGTTATGGCTTTGGGTTTGGGGTTGGGGAGTAATGGACACGGAAAAAAAATCAAAACTTGTTTCTTTTTACACAGGAATTGAGAAAATTGAAATATAAGAAACATAGAATGCTGGGGTAGGATGGCAGCCTGGAAGTGGCCACCATGTGAGTGATGAAGAGTCAGAATAAGAAATAAGAGGGGCTGGAGAGATGGCTCAGTGGTTAGGAACACTGGTTGTTCTTGCAGAAGACCCGGGTTTGAATCCCAGAACCCACATGGCAGCTAACAACTGTAACTACAGTCCCAGGGCATCTGACAGCCTCTTCTGACCTCCACGAGCATTGCTCGACACAGGTGCACTTACCTACATGCAGGCAATACACACATACACATAAAATAAAAATTTTTAAAAATTAAAAAAAAAGAATAAGAAAAAAGAAATTCTGCTCCAAAGAAAGAAAAACCTTTGGAAATTCACAAA